AACAATTACAGCTGCAAGTTTTTTTGGCACCATCAGTTTGGTGCAATGTTTGCCCATTGTTTTGCCCCAGGTCTCTCACATCTCTTGCACTAAAACTAAGTCAGGACTTTGGACCACTTAAGGATGTTAATTTTCTCAGTTTAAAACACATCCAGTGTAGCTTTGAATCAATGTTTTTCTGAAGAGTGAATTTGCCAGTACTTTTCTCCATCTATGTTCCCATTAATCTTGATAAGTTTCAAAATCCTGTTGTTAAGAAGCAGAACTATAACAATGCTGCCTCCACCATGCCTGACAGTTGGGATGGTGCTGAATGAGTGATGTGCTATGTTTGGTTTCCAAAAGATGTAGTGCTTTGCATTTACAACAAAAAATTCCAACCACAGATTGACCACAAACACTCATCATCATCACCACTTATCAGCATCACTTAGGAGCTTTGTTGCAAGTATCATGGGGGATTTGATATGTTTTTCTCAGTTCTATAAAAGTCCCCCTTGGAGGTGTGACTGGGATATTGCTGACAAATAGACATTTTCAACCACCTCAGCCACAGCACTCTTCATCTTTTTCAAAGTCAGTGTTGGCCTCATGGTAGAATCCCTAACCAGCCTGTTTTAAGTGTCTTTTTGACTTAACTACTGTATGCTCAAAGGAATATTCAGCTTTCAGACTATTTCATAAAAGTTATCCCAATGTGTGCCTTTATACTTGTGTATTCCTAAATTGTTCTGAAAGCCTCTTGGTTTTCATGGTTCAATCTTTTCTTCAATCTCTCTGAGTGACTTTCCAGAGATCGGTGTATTTTATTCTGGAATCATGCAAATTACTATTATTGCACTCTTCTAATTGTAAAGGTAATTCTGTACATGTAAATTAATTTAGGTTTAACACAGCAAAGGGTTTGTATACAACCATTACTTATTCCTTTTCGTTCATATTAATTATCTATTTGCTTATTTATTTCCTTTAAATGTGTAAAGTATGCTGTACATATAACACATTGTTAGTTCAAAGTGTCATGAAAGAAAGTTTTAATGCAATAAAATGCGAAATCTGTGCAAGGGTCTCAATGTGTTTGAAAGGCACTGTATGTGCCAAAGCTGTGTAGTACATACCCTGATTCTAAATATTAACTGATTAGAGTCAGTGACTGCGTTTAAACTTGGACTAAAACTTGTTTTTAATTTCTTGGATTTTTGTTAATTATGAAATGGCTTCACAGTGGCTTGTGAAATTTGCATTAGGCTTTATAAATTAAAAGCCTGCTTGACTGATTAGTGTGTTTTTGAGTACAAATTTCATACTGTACTTCAAGATCATTGTAGGGTCTGGAGGCCAGAAACAGATGAGGACTGCACATATGAAGTGTGTGTAGAATGGATCTTTTATACTAGCCTCAGACTTTGTAGGGGCCATAGTCTCCTTTTCACAGTGTTATATCTAGTTCTCCTGAAGACAATCTTCTACTCTTTCACTTCAACTCCTAATAATTCATCTAGTAATCAGGTGAAGAGCCCTTGTTAGGGATGCAATCACGTCTATCAGCCTTCCAGTTTTATCATTAGCAATCAAGCTGTTAAGGTGGTACTTATGTTTTATTTATGCTCTCAGAATGCTAATCAACCAGAAGAACATTTTAGAGGAAAGTGTCTTGTATTTGAAATGGAATTGTTCAAAAGGTACTGAAGATTAGGAATGTATATACAGTATAAAATTTTCCCAAGGAAAGAATTTATTCTGGAAAGGATTTGTTAAGCACATTAGGTGAAGCTGGGCATGAGAATAACAAAAATGATTCTAAAAGCATGGGAAATATTTCTAAACTGACTTGTTTGATACAGTATGTAACAAAATTACTTCAGCTAAACCTGTAAAGTAAACTGGAATACAAGTAACTGAGTTTTCATTTACACAACTAATTTGAAAATAAATTTTAAATTGCAGCTACTAGGTGAACAAGGACATGAAATGCAGACCATTTTTTTAGCATTTTGCCAGTAGGAAAGTATTGTCAAGAATGTAGGTTTATTTTATACTTTTAATACTATATACAGCTTTTTATTCTGTATTTATTTATTATATTTCATTATGCATAACTGCACAGAGAAAAAAAATGATCTTATTTAAAATTTGATGGCTCCTGACAGCAGATAGTCTAATTCTCATCTTTTTTCCCAGTCTTTCATTGAAGGACTTTGCCTCCACCTAGTCCACTGCTATCTGTCAGTTTATATGTGGAAACTGTCATAAAGAAGCCTTAGCTTATTTCCACTGCAGCTTGAGGGATAAAATACTTTCAGAGCGTCATCACAACTCCTCTATTACAAAGTCTGAAATTTCTTCACAATTGATGTCTCTTTTAATTGCTGTGACATCCTATTCGAAGGCCCTAGATGGTCTAGACCTTGATATTTGCTATATTCATTTAGGGAGATGGGAACATGAAAAAGAACACTTATAAACACGCAAACGCACACTCCACAACCATTTTAATTTCAATTTCTGCAGAACATTTTTTATTTATTAGCTTGGAGATATAAATTGGATATTTCTGAACTAATAACTAGTCAATTACCACTCTGCTAGAACAAAACAGTTATTACATTGGACTGGCTACTGCTTCAGCATTAAATTTACTCTTAGCAGTTGAAGAAACAATCAAAGTGAAAAAAGATACAAGCTGCTAATTTCTTGTGAAGTTGTGAAATGTCATTGGGTTTCTGATAAAAAAGCATACTATGCATAAGAATGTGTTATAAGAACTGAGTGCATACTATCTAAATTAGAATCTTCAATTCTCCAATAGTAGATGTTTTACAGAAAATGTCTATAGTTATAATATTTTAGCTTTTTGTTTTGATCTACTGTAATCCTTTGTGCCTTTTAGAAATTAGGCAGTAATTTGTATTGTGGCTGCAATTCACTTATAAACAAGGTGTGTCTAAGGCACTGTTTTGTTGCAGCATGAAACAAACAAAAAAGCTTTTCTTCATGTCTGTATCATTGCGTAAATTGACCATATTCTGCTGCCGTGCAGCCAAGTATATTTTTTTCTTATTTCTGCTTTTCTATCATCCGTATAGAACTACTGAAGATGAATGTAGAAACAACTTACAAGGCAAAATGTACATTTAGTTCTCCTAAGATCAAAAGCTGACTGAATTTTGTAATTGCTTTTACAATTCAAATTACTTGTAATGTATGTAGCATCAAAGGCCACAAACTATAACAGCTTTAGTGGGAAGTGAGGAAAGGCTGAACAAATTCAGGATATAAATAATAATTAGGGGACCACAGTGATACTGCAGAATTTCTTGTCTTTAGACTTCATTTTTAGAAAGTGTATACTGTATTTATCAAGCTGTATTCTTTTTATCTTTTTATTTTGAGTCAGCTGAATTTCCTGGTGGAAAGTAGTTGCCATTATTTTAACTGCCTCTGGCTAAACTCTGGCTAAACATT